AAAAAAAAAAAAAAAAAAAAAAAAAAAAAAAAAAAAAAAGACTATCTCCTCAGGAGCAGCAGAAGCAGTTCCTCCTCATCAAACCTGTGACAACCAGCAGCAGGTATTTGGCCACTGCTGTCTAATTACCAAATGTTCCGATGACAGGAGGTGGTAATTCAGGAAAATCTGCAACGATGTGCTTAAGGCTCACATCCTTCAGGAGGGTCAGTGCCAGCTCCTGTACAGCTTGGGAGTCCTGGGCATAGCCCAGACCCATGCTCAGCAGCCCTTGGGATGCAGGGGAGCTCATCTCACTGAAGAAGGCTCTCCAGAAATTGCTAGCAACTCTGCTTACCCCAGCACCTTAAAAACTTCCAAAGGACCAGAACTCATTTATTCCCACTTCCTTTCCCTTCAGCATCAGCTAGATGTGTCTCAACAAGCAAGAAACCTCAGAGCCAATAAGTACACACTTAGCACCTGTATCTTTGCCAGAGAACTTGGAAGAGCCACATACATTGATTCAAAAATGTGTTTTGCTCATCTCCACCAGCCGTGCATCCATCCCACAAGCCCTAATTATTTCTAATGCTCAGTCAAGGGGAACACAAAACCACACAGATCTATATCATCATTAACTTCCATGCCTTCAGGGTAGGATAAATGATGATTAAGTCTAAAGTCACACCACAGCCTTTTTTCCTATTTTTTTTAATACAGAATAATGGCTGAGGGAATTTGCATACACTCTTGTTCTCAGATAGACTGCTTACTACGGGTGAGCAATCAAGTTGGAACAAAACCAGAAGTGAACTAAACCTCTGCCCTGAACTCTAGGTGGTGAATTACTGCTGTCCTTTCACTCATGAATCTCTAATGGGAGACTGGATCTGACTTTTCATTCAGATGTCCTCATCATGCTCATCCAATAGGCATTTAGCAGTTTCACCATGACTACGCTGGGACCGTGGCTAGAAGGAAGCATAGAAATGCCAAAGCTGATAGCATTCAATGCTGACCTAAGCCAATGCACCTGCCCACACAGCAGAGCATCCCATCTGATGCAGCCACCTAGTACACAGTGCTGTGAGGCAGCAGATGGCACAACTGAAAGCAGGGCAGTGCTATCACAGTAGCACAAGGTCTGAGGCTTAAGCCACCAACTCATGACTTTAGTCACACCACCTAAGTGAGATGGTTTTTCTAGCTCTAGTCTGGTGCAAGATCAGCTGAAGCAGTTTCAATTGCTCTGTTTCAGTTTCAAAAGGGGAAAGAAGGCAACCTGAAAAACAGAAATCCTCCCCCCCCCCCCCCCGCAGGATAAAACATTGAGTGCTTCTCAACTTGCCAGCCACAT